CCGGATATTGGATGAAACACTCCCACTGGTGATTCGTGTTTCACTTTTCATTTTTTCCTGATATCAGACGAAAAGCTCCTTCATCTGTTTGGTATATCACCTCTGAGAGTCACACGAGATTCTGCCATCCGTTTTTGAACACACGCAGTCAGTGCTAGGATATCGTGCGTGTTTGTTAAATCAGACGAAACACTCCCATCTCTATAGATAATCTGTCAATGAGCGTCTCGATGTCAGACGAAACACTTTCAGACATGTTTGAAATATTTGCAGATGGTTAGTTTTGTTTTCACTGGCTTTTTAAATGTTTTGCAAATCTAGATCTTTTCAACCCATCTACCATGCATATTCCTACATTGATTTTTTCCTCTCCCTATTTTTCCTCTCAATTCTTGATCTAACATGTATGATTCAATCAGTCTAGTTATTCCTCAATAGACACACGTATAGTTAAGAATTGTTTATAGTAGAACTACACTTTTGTTAAATAGGTTATTATACTTTTAATAGGTTAAGGGTTGTTCGCTTTACCTTTGCACGCCTTGCCATCACCAGCAAACCCCTCCTTACATGAACATAGGTAAGATCCTTCACTATTCCGACAGATAGCATTTATATCACAGATGGAGGGAAAGACACTGCATTCGTCAATATCTGGGCAAATTGAAATATTTGAGATAAGGAAAAAACTCTGTATAATAATAAACGACACAGGACTAAATTTGAAAGAAGTTGCTCGCTTAAAGATACCAAGCAAACAACAGCCAAGCGATCCCTCTGAATTGTCTCACAACAACGCCTAATGCACAGTCATGTCAGTATGTGAATCAAAATATTTCTGAACCAAGAACAAATAATCATAGTTTCGTTTGTTTTGTCGTGAAAAAAGTACTTTGTCAACTTTACTCTTGTAACAAAAAATTGCGTGTGGAGCTAAAATCTGTGTGTGAAGTCAGGGGAAAAGGATTATTTAAGTTCCCCTTTACCTCGGTTGCCAAGTAAACTAGGAAGGTCATGCGCGCTCTTTTTGTTCTTTCCATAAAGCAATATTCTACCCCTTTAATTGTCCCCGGGTGCGCTTTCGTTCGTCCTGACGACCTCACAAAGTTGTTATCAAGGGTTCATTAAGAGTACTCCCTAGCTTTATTTTACTTCTTTTGTCTAACAAAAACAAATGAAATCAAAGCTGGCTCTTAAAAAAATTCTTAATCAGCAGCATCCTTCAGTTAATGGTGTTAGAAGCAATGGTAGAAAAACAAAATCGTTTTCACTTCATTTATTCTTACCCTGTCCACAATCTTCGCCGGTAAAACCCGGAGCACATACGCAACGATACCGTTGGTCTGTAAATCCAGACTGGCAGATAAACTTGTTATGGCATGGATTGACGTCACAAGCACTCTTTCAAGAAACAAATGAACGGTGAATGAGATGAAAAGGTATTAAATGATGTAGCAAATCTAAGTAATCAAAGCGAAACGTGTCTGTGTAAGACATATCCCCTCCGTGCAATGTTGTGCCCTTGTTCTGGGCCACTATTCTAAACGAATGTTTGCATGTACAATGTGACGACAGTGACATAGGCTCGCGCAGATCTAAAAACAGAAATGAGCCATGGAAGAGAAGCTGATTAAAGCTCTGCAATTCGCTTTCACCTTTCCGCGCTCTATCATGTTCGCATTTGCCGTTGTGTTGACTAAATCTGCCGAGTAGACAGCTTTTGTCTATTTCTGCATCCGATCTGCGTACGGGAAAGAAAGTGTGGTATTAGGAGGAGCCCTTTTTCAAAAAAGTCTCTCCTAATTTTTTACATGGCTACAATAGTATGCGCGCTCTGATTGGCTGTTTTCTTGTAATGACTGGGCATTACTAGCTAGGTCTCCAAGGCATATACAATGGTGGACATCCCTATGGCCATACAGACAGCTGTCAAAAAAGAGCATCCGCTGACCATTGTCACCTGACTGTGTCTCGGGTTCAAGTGTACAACTCATTAAGGTGACGTGTTATCTGCTGTTGGGTTTAATTGATCGCATGCTGATTGAGGCGGTCCATAATGAAAAGGCCATATAATAAATAACTAATTGACCTCGTCCGTTTGGTCATTACAGCGAAATCTCAGACCTCGGCCTTGATGTATTGCCGTCGCGTTCGCTCGGTCAATACATCAAGGCCTCGCGGTCTGAGATTTGCCTGTAGTGACCTCAATCTTCCTTTAATAAGTAATATATAATTTCAGTTGAAATCGGAAGGGTGAGGCCAAACCTCCCATGCAGGGCTTTGCCAAGCGTTCCTGTCGGCCCAAAGTTCTAGGACCAGTAAATATTTTACAGTTGAATCTTGTGGCGTATTTGATAGTACATCTTTGGTTGTTTGCCATTTACATGGGCAAACCAGTCGGTCCACAGTTTAGGCAAATTGTAAGCAAAATTCAGGACTTGGAAATTTCGTCCCGGAACCGCTTTACCGTTTGTACAAATCAGTTCCGTTCACTGAAAAACGACCGTGAAGCTGGTATCAAGGATAACTTTTAAGAACTGGAACACGAATTTCCGTTTGGAATATTCCGTCGGGAAAAACAGGACTACCTTTCCAGACGTTCCGTTGCTCCTGCAAATTTTCCTCAGGAACTATCCAAAACGTTTTTTTTTCCATTTACTTTATCCAACCGGATTTTCTGGAAATTTTTTGTAAATGGTAAACATGCAACCTATGCATCCAAGAAATTTGGTTCTCGGACAAAATCTTCCGTACGTACGTCCGCATGTTCATGTTAGCGGATGTGAAATGCTTTACTTACTAGCATCCATGTTATGATCTATTGTCAGCTGTCACAATTGGGTATCTGCTAACCAGTGTCACATGACTGTATCGCGGGATCAGGTGAAAAATTCATTGAGATGATATGTTTTATTTAATTTGTCCGATGCCCAATTATGGTATTCAACTGAACGCAGGCTTAGAAAACTTTACTTCAGAAAGACATTTCTTCAAAGTTACCAATAGAGCTTCGCTTTTGGTTTGGCTAAATGTAAATCTAAATCTAAATCTTATGATATACTCTTACATCTGCTCCATGGTATACGTGGTCGACATCGTGCTCAAGGTGATAACCATACCCTCGATGAGTTGCATTGTTCAACTCACAGCTCCCTGTTTCCTCTTTGAAATTAATACTGACGCAGTTAGATTCCCAGAAGCAAAGGCGCTCGCAGCTATTTACATCTGGGACCTGCTGAGTTCTTATTGTGTGGTTCTGCAGACGTTTAGCTGTAAAGGAGGAGGAAGCTCGAAACGACAGTTGTCGACATTCACCTGAAACAGTCAACATCCGTCCTCTCACATGAACAAAACACTGCACAAAAAAATAGATCAGATTTGCTGTGGACAAATATATGTTACAAAAAACGGGAACAAAGATTGTAAATACTGTATTGGTATCCTTAATTTTATAGGGTTCTAAATCGGGGATAAAAGGGGTAGTTAATCGTGAAACATTTATGTACGTTTGTGTTGTTGTACACTGAAACGAGAGAGTCAGTTTATGTTGAAACTGGTTTACTTTGGCACCAGAAATGACTTCAAACGGCGGAGAATGTATGAAAATACAAACACTAAGCCGTGGAGAGAGGAGAGAGCATAGCGTAGAGCTCATGTTGCTCTGCTGAATGGATGACAACTCTTTTGTGACGAGAAATTAAAGAGCGGAATTTTTTCAGCAGCGTTATATCTGATCAAGAGCAGGACAGATTTTGAAAGGTACTTATTTGGAAGCGCTTGGTTTTCAATTGAAAAGTAGCTTACATACCTGTATGTTATTAAATATATGTTTATCATTTATTAAGTGATTTTAGATTCTTAGTTTTTATTGATGTACATCTCATGTTTTAAAGTTTTATCATGTAACTTTTTTTAAAACTTTTACCATTTTTTAAACTTTCAATATCATGTAAATTGTTATTTTCTTTAATGATTTTAGTCTAAGAGGACCCGCTCCTGTTACGTCACGTTACCATGGTAGCAAAATTTCTGGATGACAACAAACCGGAAAACCTCACGTAAAACTGTTTCAGACCTCATCGATCTCGTTCAGTTTCAATTGATTTGACAAATGTTGGCTAAATTTTCTGGGGTTAAATCCGAAAAGACTTTATTTAAGCTAGAAAAAGAAATCGTGTTGTGTTCACCTAGTTTATAAAGCGGACGCGTGAAATTAGGAAGTTTCACGTCGTTTTTTTTATAGTCATGATACGACGGCTAAAAAATGTACAAAAAAGCGTGATGCAGGTGCAAAGTTGTTGTTTTGCTATTCTAAACTTATTGCTTTTTTTTACCGTTCTCGTTGCTGTCGCCGTCGTTGTTGCTTAAGCTCGCTATTGTTGTGATCCAAATATTTTGCTACCATGGTAACATGACGTCACACTTGTCCTCTCTATTTGTTTGATATTTTCTTAACCAGTCTATACAACTGTCTATAGGAGTATTTTGTGCTTGAACAAATTTAAAAAAGCACTAAGTAATGACTTCATCATCACAGAAGTGATCCTGAACTTAAACAGCAATATCCTTGTGACGTACGTAACCCCTTTCGGTAATAAATATATATTTTTTTATCTTAGAAATTCAGAGAGCATTCATGCAAAACGTAAGCGTTTCATGTGATAAAAGAGTGTTGAAACCCAATTGTGCAGAAATTGCAACATTTATTAAAGAATAAATTAACAGCTAAGTTAAAGAAGGAATCCGACAGAAAATATTTAAGTTGAAAATAGGTGCATATGAATTTAAAATCTGTTTATATCTATATATTATTTCATAGTTGAGAATGGTTCAAAAAGGGGCAGACTCAAAAGAAATAAGCCAAAGACACGTGCAGTGGATGAAAATGAAAACCATGCTCGTTCCATACTGTGAAAATTAGAATTTGTTCATATAACCAAGACATGATATAAAGTAATCCAAAGATATTTAAATGGAAGCGTTTAACTTAAAAGAACTAAAATCGCAGAACTAACCTTCCACGTAAGCTAAGTAAAGTTCTAATGACAAGAACAAAATGGTAACGCTTTGACCGCGAAGAAAGGAGTCCATATTTTTTGCATGTCAACTCATCGCTTTCTGAACCGATCAGCGCACATCATCACTTAAGCAGCCAGAACTGGTGAACGGAAGTTGAAACTCCAATATATAATGAAAACGCCTATCTAATAATGCTTAATAATGCTTCTAAATCCACCTGCTGTGGACACACGTTAAAAATTAAACAGCTGCATGCTATTATCTACATAGTGTTGTACCGAAGTTCGAATTCAGTTTGAAAATTAAATCAAACATGTGTTGAAACAGTTAGACAATTTGTATACTGAAAAGCCTTTGCAATCCTCCTATAGTTTCTAAGCACGATACCGCGGTTTTCTGACTATCTTTTACAGTGTAATTTAAGACGCTATGGGAATCCGAGCTAATATCACTCCGCGAGAAATGCAGCGTGTTTGTTAAACCATGGTTTAAAAAAATGAAACATCTTCAAGTATTATTAATAGTCGACCTGATTTTAAAATCAGACATTTGCAAAGAGGCTGAAACGAGGCGTACTATTTTAACATAACAGGCATTCAAGACGAAAAAATGCGTGAGCAGGGGCTACGAATCGACCGAAGACGGTCGGCAAGGTTTTAAAGCTTAATTGAAGTTTATTAACATTCATTAGAGAAAATGCCCCACCTGTATTCTTTGAAAATTACTCAGCAGAAAAGAGGTGATCTGGCTTTTCTCCATATCTGCATGTTCAGCTTATTTTCTCAGTTAATAGGCCGATCCTTCGGCAAATGAACCGGGATTTTGCGGTCATGATTTTCTACGTGCAGAGAAAGTTTGTTTGACTATTCAGGAGCTAAATGCTTTTGAAAAGGTAAGAACAATATTCTTTTGTGATGGTTTTATCTTGGTCGTTGGCAGAGTTTCAAAATATGCATGGGGTGCAAATTGATAATGTTTTTTTCAGGAAGTTCGATTCATTAAGGGTCCGCACGCGGCAGTCTATAAGAGTCTGAAACATTCACTAATTTTTTAATTTATACGCATGGAGAAAATAATTAAGACACCAAATTTGGCATGATAAAGATGTTCATGATAATAAAATACCGTAAAATTCCAAAAATAAGCCCCTCCATGTATAAGCCCCTCCAAATATAAGCCCCCAAAATCGTAACGCAAAAAACCCTCCGTTAAATCGCCCCTCCAAATATAAGCCCCCGGGGGCTTGTACTTAGAAAATTACCCTCAAATACAAAGTAAAACAAAGCAAAAACAGTAAATTTACTTTCAACTAAAAGGCTAGCTCAATCGATTCTGAAACGCAAATTTCCCTCCATAGATAATCCTCTCCGAATATAAGCCCCTCCAAAAATAAGCCCCTCAAAAAGGGCCTTTGAAAAATGTAAGCCTCGGGGCATATTTTAGGAATTTTACGGTATAACAGACTAACGTAGCGATATAGTTAAAGATGCGAAAAGAAGGGCCAACAGTATTATCACTTGTTGCAACTACACAAATAACAGTCTGTGACTTGAGTAACGAAAGTTATTGACCTGTCAACTAATCTGACTAACATTTTTTCTCACGAGGGAGAAAGTTGTTTTTCCAGTTCAGGTTCTAATTTTCAGTTTCACCA